ATGAAGGAAAACTCTTATGATCGTATCTGAATAAGATGAAGACAATAACAAATTCATTTAGTTGTTCTATATATATTAAACCCAGGGAATAAAAAAATGAAAAAAATGGCATTTCTGATGATGAAACGGACATTTTCTTTGATGTTTTTCGATTTCATCGATGAAAATGAATATTTTCATCAAAATAATGCCATGACTTTGAAAAAAATCAAATTCATGCAATGTCACCGATGAAAATAAACATTTTCATCGATGAAATTGAAAAACATGAAAGAAAATGTCCGTTTCATCATCAGAAATGCCATTTTTTTTCATAATTTTGATGCAAAATTCATGAAAGTCATGGCATTTTTTTCATTATTTTATTCCCTGGGAATTCAATTAAATAAAATCGTTTAAAAGAATAAAAAAAAATATGAAGCTATAATTTAATGAAATACGTACAAGTTATATAAAATAATTATTGAACAATTTCCAAAATTTTTATTTTCTCATGTACTTGACATACTGTTAGCGTCCGTGATGAATCACTTGGACGCTAAACGATGATTAAGATGCGCCTTCTAGTCTAATTGGCTTAGGACAACTGCTCGGATAGCAGGAGATATGGGTTCGATTCCCATGAAGGTCATCTTTTTCATCGTTCTGTCACATAACATCAGTGACACTGCTTGTCTCTTTCGTTCTATACATATTAGAGCTGACACATACGTAGACCTCAAGATTTGTTCATAGCACATGGCTTCCTTGCCCAAGACAAGCACTTGAGTGGTTGCATGAGTCACAAGTAACTCATGCGCTCAACTCAAGAAAATGTGACTATGAGCTTTTATTAAGAGATGAATTATTTTGAACGTAAAATTGGAAAAAAAAACTAAAAATATTTCTTTAATATTATTCAAGTGTGTAGCACTTGTTTGAATTAAAAAATCCATGAGCATGAACAAGAATACTAAGCGATAGAATAAGATAAGATATTCGAGTGCTTGAGTTCGATAAAAGTTCTCAAGTCTTTCCTCAAAATGTGTCCATAGCACATGACTTTCTTACTCAAGATGCTCAAGTAGTTCATATGCATACAAAAAAATGTATGACTTTGGTATCTATTTATGAATTAATAAAAAAGAAACGATATTGTTTATTTTTAAATAATTGAGTAAATCGTAAATCAGTAATTGTTATCGAAGATGATTTGATGATTCACCTAAAAAACCTTCCTGATTATCATTATTTTAAACGAAACTAATATTACCCAAACAGACACAAACAAAAAAAATGAAAATTGCATTAAAATGCTATGGAAAATGTGATCATTTTCGTATGTTATCAGGACCCCAGATTGTTAACCAAAAGCACTAGATATTAAAAAGAATTGGTTTACAAATTAGTCGACTTGGCTCACATTATCTTCATAATCGGCAACAATCTATTCTGTATCAACAACTCAGACAACAAAACGAAGATTTGGAAATACCAGTGTATGAGATAATAGTAATGGATGAAGATATTTAAAAACAGTGTTATTCTTCTGTTTGCTAATCCTCTCTTGTTTCTGTCAATTAATTCATTTCGACTAATGTTTTCTTTTCGTATATTAATTCTTCGTTAATTGATCTTTTATAATTAGTTTTTATCACTTAACTATCAAAAATAAAGATTTAAGAAAGACTTAATTTATGAAAAATACATGATCTTCAAGATCGTATGATCAACATTTATTCGATACACATATAGATAATCTTATTTTAGAATAGCGAGAGAATAATATCTTATTTATTTAATAGATATTGAAATAATTTTAATATCATCTAAAGGTTTGTCAAGTCGATCTGTTTTTGCTTGAGAAATTTATTCAATAATATCCATTCCTTTTGAAGCTCTTCCGAAAATGGTATGTTTGTTATCAAGCCATGGATATGGAACAACAGTTACAAAAAAATTGACTTCTATTTATATTTGGTTCAGCATTTGCCACTGACAATGTATATGGACGATCATGTTGTAATTAGAGATGAAATTCGCCTTCAAAATCTTTTCCTCTTCAGGATGTGGGTGTATGTAAGGAGAAGATGTGCACACCCACACACTCCAAATTTTGTAACGGTTATCGTAAAAGAATGACTGATTATTTTTCGATGTACGACGTTATTTATGGATGAATGATGCATACTAAAGGACTTAACCTTCCGTTAGATAATATAGACGTATAAGAATGTTGCATATTCTTATGAAGATGTATACATTAACACTCTATTCTTAAAATAATGACATCTAATCGTAAAAATATACATTTGAAAAGTCAGTCTACTTCATTGAGTTCGATATCAAGTTCTTCTGAAAGTTGTTCAATATTCGATTCCATCACCCACAGTTTATCATGCCAGAAAGGCAAACATTTCTTGTAGATAATTAATGCTTGTTTATAGCAATCAAGTGCTAACTTGGGTTTATGAAGAAGTTCATATATCTCACCTATGATCGAGAAACTATTTCCTATGTCCACATGATCAGGTGAAAGGACTTTACAACGCATGAAGAAAAGATTCTGTTCCTATGTAAGAGATATATCATGATGATCTCTCTTTCTCTCTATCTGTGATAACCATGTAAGTACACTACTAATAGAGAGACCTTTTGAAGGTGAACTAGCTTCCATAATTAATAACCATCTTTCCAAAAACTTAATGGCTGTATCGAACTGAAATTTTCTATCGTAGTTAGCAGCAATCCATGATAGACAAACACAAATTTCCACATAATTGTTGGGATAAGGGTGTAGGTGTGGGTGTGGGGTGTGGGTGTGGGTGGGTGTGGGGCGTGGGTGTGAGTGTGGGTGGGTGTGAGTGTGGGTGTGGAAGTGACCCTTTCCTCTAGCCACACCCACACACTCACACCCACACCCACACCCATACCCACACCCACACCCAAACCCACACCCACACCACCCTCAGCATCCGCTGGTTGTTGATATCGATAATTCCTCTTTCTCTTTTGTTCATGAAAAGCCGGTATCTATATTGTATTTTTCAAGTATTTTTACTGTTGTCGCCGATTCATAACATATATTTAATCAATTACAACGATTTGTAAAAAGAGAAAAACGAAAATTTCGTCTTTCAAAGTAAGTTCGATCTATGCTTTCATGTCCTACAATAAAATAAAATATTGAGAAGGAACTTTGAAAAATTTTGAAGAGTAGGATGGACTTCGAATCAATAAAGATTAAGTATGAAACTACAAGAAGTGTACTGAATTCTCTACGTATGAAATCAATGAAAAAATATTTACAAAAATATTTTAAAAAAATCTCTGTCTGGTTCCTGGTTCATCCTTATTTTTTGTTAGTCATGAATCTGTTTCTTTTGGATTACTTTACCACTAAAAAGCAGCCATTTAATTTAAACAGAAACATCAAAATATTCATCCTCCTCTGCAGAGCGGTCCTGTCCTGGCTGCAGGGCAGGACAGGGCAGGGCGACATTTTTTATAAGATACCCCGTACAGGACAGGACAGGACACAAGAAGACCGCATAACAGGACAGGGCAGGGCGAAAAAATTTGTCCTGTGGACACCTCTGCTATAAATCCACTATGGATTGGGATATAATGGAAAGATTATATTACAGAAATGAGGGATTACATTGTATGTATTTCACAAATATTGGCTAATCAAAACATATGTCAATCATTGAAAAATCAATCCGAAGAATTCTTTATATATTCCTTTTTTTTCGAAGATTTTTATTTTTTATTTAGACATATAGTAGAGGAAAAGACAGAAAAGAACAATTACCAGAATAATAAATCCTGTCATAAAGCACATATTCCAGGCAGTTAGATTAACATCTTCACCAAGCATAGTTAGTTTTGTCCAATAAAAACATTTTTTACATCGACTACAAACCATTCGATTACATCCACCATTTTTTTGGATAGGCACATTACAACCTGGACATGGTAAAGTAAAACGTTGAATCCATTCTTCACTTTTTCCTTTCCCATTTTGTTCACGTAAATAATTATTTAATAAATCATGATCGTTATACTTTAATAAAATATCACGTATAGCAGACAGTGAAAGAATAGCACAACAACTCGATTCCGGACATGTTACAGAACTTACTATACATGAATCAAGTGCTGATACGATATGTTGATGTATACATGCATCACATACTCGATGGAGCACCGATGAAGAACAATATTTTGTTGAAAATAATTGAGTTGCTTGATAAGTATAACATACATAACAAAATGCTTTCTTATTGGGTCGAGATTTTGACCAACATGATTTATTATGAGCTATACAAAATAAATATTTATTTAACTTTTCGAACGAATTTTCATCTTACTTCGTGATCGATGATTGGGCATCGCTGAACGTTATTTATTTTCTTTTTGCTTAGTTTAAATATCTGCTATGCAGTTGATAGAGATGAAGAAGACAGCAACGGCGTGATGACCATTAACCTTAAAACAATGATCCGTATTGACCTTTCTCTGTTTTGACCTGACTAGGCATGCATTGCTCAGTTAACAGTATCGTAGATTTTTCGAATTCGTCGACGAATCGACATCATATTGCCAATGTGTGTCAATAGACAAATTAATTATGAACACTAGACTATAAAACCCACTTGTGATTGTGTAGACAGATAGGAATAAAAGTTATTATTTGGCATACTGACATACAAAACTATTCGATTAAGTTGAAAATATCAAAAGCTAACAAAAATAAAAAAGCTAAGATTTTGCAATATAAAAATATCTCCAAGACCATCATTGTTAGCTAATGCAAATCTAAAGAACTTCATCTGAATCATAAATGTTGGCAAACAAATCAATTTTCTGTATTGTAATTCATACGTTTTCTGACAGGAGCGTAAATACGGAGGAGAGGACGAGTGGGGCGTAACGCCTCCCCGCTTTTGAAAATTTCGTTTTTTTGGTCATCAAAATAGAAAAAATAGGGTTACGCCTAGCGGCGTAACCAGGATTTCAGGCTAGGGGGGGCTCAGCCCCGAACGTTTTTAAAAAGTGTACAAAGCTAGTGCTAATTGTTTTTCATTTCTTTTAGCAAAAGGGAACTAAGTCTCTGGTCTATCTGAAGTATACAAGGCTATTTGAGACCGGTATTTCAACACTTTAAGATTTCTTAGAGGATGTCCTCTGAGTTTATATTTTTTATCATAAAAGTCGGACTTTTTCATATTCAATGGCTACAATGAATACAATTGCACATAATGATTCAGATCTAAGTAATTGTCAAAGGTAATTTCCAATATGATGTCTGAACCAGAAACTAAGCACTCAAAATTAGTCGCATGCTATGTAAGGAGCATAGTGATTCTAAATGAAGTAGTTAGAAGCGTGACTCTTTTTATCTAAAGTGTTTCAAAAATTAAAATACATTGAATTAGAAGTGTCAAAATTTGTGATAGCATGAGCGATATGAAAGTCGATTTAAAATATAATTATAGGTCTGCCCATCAAGATGTCAGGGAGCGCCGAAGTGTTCTCCTTTGTTCGTTTAGACAGTATCAAGGATTTTTACAACTCATCACATGCAGTCTGTTAGAATAAGGTCAAGAAGCTTTTTCGAGCGATAAATACTTGCTCTCAACCCAACTGGCCTTTCTAGGGGTATTTCGACGCCTCGATTTTGCACTGTCGATGTCTCCTAAGATACCCATCGCCGAGCCCTCGATCCATCGGAAAATGGCAATCCGAGGGGTCGATTTGAAATTACGATGGGTATAGCTCGTGTCTCAAAATTGTACCATCATAGATGTTTCAAAGTTTCTATCTCGTGCTTCTGCTAACTATCAATGTACCTACCATCAGGCTCTGGAGCCATCGGAATTTCAAATCGACCCCTCGGATTGCCATTTTCCAATGGGTCGAGGGCTCGGCGCACCCCTCACATGTCTTTTTCGGCTCGCTTGGGAAGAGAAACATTTTCGAAAGAACTTTGCCCGATTTTACTGATATGAAGTCAATTTTAGATGACATTATCAGATAATGATTCGTTCCGCTACTGACTATAGCTCAGATAAAAATAAAAACGTAGAGAATCACTAAAACTTCGTTTGCACAGAATCTTGCTTATATTATTGCTGTTACGAATTGCTTTAAAGGAAAAATGTCTATTTTTGATATCACAGATTTTTCGGTAAGCAAACTCACATTAACAGTCGATTCTATGCCCCTTAGATTTCTCAGTAAATAACTTTCAAGAAGGAATATTCGAAATTGTTTTTTTAGCACGAGACCCATAAGAATGGAAAAAGAGTTTTTGGTAGTCTGTATGAGGTAATTTAGGAGAGCATTTTGGACTAAAGAGTTACTAAAAAAAATATCTCCAGTTCAATATCGTCCTGCACACAATAGTAGTTTAGGTAACCACGCTTCGAGCTGTCACTGAAAACCGTAGTGAGAAATTCCAAATAACACTTACTGAAAACAGATCCATTCTCGATAAGGTCAATAATTTGAATCTAACACAAAAATTTCCATATCTGTCTTATAAAAATGTATTAAGACTGCAGTGACCAGATCAGAAACTTCCCACAATCAGAAAACAGTAAATAATTTTTTTCATCAGAGAAGTTCATTGATTCCTCCGTTGGTTTGAAACATTAACGTTATTCTTCTATTTTATCAAAGAAAAATATCCGATATTAAATAGGATAAACTCAAGTGTCTCGCTCACTCGGCTCAGAATAGCCATCCAAATTAGAAACAATTGTATTTTTCATGAGAACTAAAAATTTTCTAGGGGGGCTCAAACGATTCTGGGAGGGGCTCAGTCCCCTAGCCCCCCTCGTGGTTACGGCACTAGTTACGCACCCTCCCCTGCTCAGGCACCTGACTTACGCCCCTGTTTCCTAACTAAGGATTCTATTACAGTATTTTAAGATAGATTATACTGCTTCTAAATTAGATTATGTATTCATGAAGCAAGGGAATGCGACACATCAATAAGATTATTGAACCTTTAGTTTATTTATATGCTCGAAAGAAAACTCGGATGTGTGGATACTCGTGTAAGTGACGTGGTGATTGGATCAGTTCAATGGTAGAGCATCCGACCGGTTATCGGAAGATACAGGTACAATTCATGTTCTTGTCTTATGATTCTTTTTATTTAGTCCTTCGTACTGAATGAAACACGTCGACTGTGGGTGTGGGGTGGGGGTGTGGGGGGGGGGTGTGGGTGGGGGTGGGGGTGTGGGTGTGGGTGTGGGTGTGGGTGTGGATGGATATTGATGTGGATGAGATAATAACTGAATCTCTGACCCACACCCACACCCACACCCACTCCCACACCCACACCCACACCCACATCCACACCCACCCACACCCGCACCCACACCCACACCCAAACCCACACCCACACCCTGACTCCCTTTTTCTGTCCACTGTGCCCCTATATCTAAACTGTAATATTAATACATTCAAGGAACTTTATCATTCGAAGCTAGCAGTTATTTAGAAAATACAAAATTCTTTTTGTCCATTATTTAAATCGGTAATTAGCGTCCTCTTTACATTTCAGTAGCGCTCTTGGAAATGATTTTTACTGAGCAAGTTGTAATTGACTCCCGCTTTCTATCAATAGTTTGTGATTGAAGGTGAATCGAAAAATGAAAATTCTTTTCTTTCAGAACATGCTCATGAAAATTTACGATTGTTTTATTTGAACTAATTTATATTTATGAAAATATAATTGAAAGATCATGAATTTGATGAAATAACTGTTGTTTTCTAAATCGCAAGAAGAGTTTTGTTGTTATTATCTATTTATAAGTACTTTGCGAGTAAAAAGAATTCGAAAAATATCTTTGTATGCATCAAATATCTTTTGAAGCCGGATCCGACTCGACGAGGTTTCTTGACGTGTAACTTCAGATAAGTTATTTGAAAAATGAAGAAGAATGACGCTGTTGTGAATCTTAATATCTGTATTTGGTTTCTTTGTTTTCAGATAAAGTGATACTGGCATAGCTGGATGACAGTGTCAATACAAGAGATAACAAAACGTTTTTTTTCTTATCGATGCATAAAGCTTTATCAGCTGTTTTTTTTTATTTAAAGTGCTGAATGAAGATTGTTTTAAATTTTGTTAATCGAAATTTTAGAGCTTATGTCTTGGTTAAATAATTTAGATCGTACTGGTAGTGGATTTTGGTCAAATTCACAATGGTACGATCTTCATTTGTCACGGCGTATGCCCTTAGTTAATAAAATGATCGAAGAAATGGTTTATGCTTGTCCACCGTCACTATCACCAGCAAACATCTATCGAGTGGCTGATCTCTGTTGTGGAAGTGGAATGGCTTCACTTTATTATTTGAAGGCATATCCAATTGTTTCAAGTTTAACATTAATCGATCAATCCGAAGAACGATTAAACATGGCAAAGAAACGAATTGATGTAAGTATGGAGAAAAATCTCTGAATTCTTGACCACATCTGTTTTTGAATACGAGGTACTTCATTGTTTTGCCTGTCTGAAAGGAAGATGGAAAGACCCAACTGCAAGAGGGATACCATGCCATAAAATTTTTTGTAAACGTTGACACTTTTCCGAAAAGTGTTGGGTTTGAAATTTCAGAAAGTCAAGGAGATAGTAAGAGACACACGATTCATTAGTTTCAATGTTCCATAGTCAGGAAGGTCTTCCACGGATCATCCTATTTTGGTCTGCATATAAAAATGAAAATACTTTTTTAAACACATATATTGCTCTGAAAAAAAAACTTCTATATAAAAAGTCATTTGTCCCATGGGACAAGATCATACTTGAAAATGTTTCATCCCATCTCACACGGAGTCCTGATATGATAGTTTAAGCGATATTCGATGTAAACTGAAAATGAGTTAGATCAATGCAAAGTCAAGTGGGCTCCAGAAAAACTTAGTGTTTGAGACAAACTATATTGTCTGCGTTCGTTTATGTTTTGAACAAATATAAACATTGTCAGAATGATCAGCGCACTCGACTATCTATGTTTAGACTCTTTTCAACATTGCTAGAAGCGTCTGAACAGGGAAAAGGTGGGCCGCGGAAAATCTTTCTAGCTCGTAGTTGTCTAGAATTGTTGACTGCGTCTCGTACTATCTTTTCTCGCCGTCAAATTCTAGTATTATAGTGTCATTGATATTTGTTTCATTCAATAGACTCAACTCGAATCAATCAGTCGGCGACCAGAAATTGTGATGTGTAAATTACAAGTTAAATGTGATAGTCAAGATAACGTAAATTTAAAATTAAATGGATCCAGCAATCTACACCCATACCATCTAATTTTAGCATCACTTGCTCTTCATGTTATTGTTGGACATGAGAAACGAAGTTTAGAAGAATCAAAACTGAGATATAGAATTTTATTTGAATTATTATTTAGAAATTTAGTTGATGATGGTAATGGACATTTGATTGTTGGTGATCATAGTGGGAGTTTAGGAATGTTTGAACAGATGAAATTGATGGAAGAATGTGGATTTGTTGATGTTGAGTGTGTATGGAGAGAAAGAGATATGTTTGTTATTGGTGGAAGACGTCGAGGAAAAGACGAAATGTCTTAGCTGTTTTTTTGTCTTTTTTTCTTCTAAGCAATAAAAAGATATGTAGCATATAGCTGCTTGATTTCAAATCACTTACACCTAAAAAAACGATTGTATGCTACAAGAGTTGTCTCAACAGCATTAGAGCAAGTACTTTTGTACTTTGTATATATAGAGTGCATAGCACACGATAATCTCAAGATCGTATGGATGGATCAAGACAGCAGCGCCCGTCGAGATGGATCATACTGGAAAGTGTGGATGTGGGTGGAATCTTATCCCTACTAACACCCACATCATCTTTGATGACAAGCTAAGTTTAGTAGTGAACTTCTTTCGAAAGTAAAGAAATAAACTACAGTACTGAATCATAATTTTAATCAAAGTTTTAGATCTTGTAATAGGCATATTTAATTTGCAAGCTCTTTCCTGCCTTTACGGGCAAGATAGCAAAAACTTGATCTATGGCGATCTCTGATAAGTAACACTCGGGTTAAACGATCGTTTCACACTGTACACAATTCTGCATATCTGATCTTTGGACGTGATTCATTCTCAATTATGAGTCTAAACGACTACGTCCGCATTGTTATTTTACATCCTCAATCATGTCAGAGATATTAGCTATGATTATTTGTACCATAATTATCATATCATACTTATGTTACACACAAGCAGATAGACGTAGATAAAATTTCGTTTCTAGACCCAGTTCTTTCAATCTAGGAAAAATCAATATATTCTTGTTGTCAATTTGTTGGATTGCGTGGATCAACAACTTACCTCTTCATTTAATTGTTCATCATTTTCGTGATCAAAGACAGTTTCTGCGATGTTGTTGTTCGGTTAAACTACATCAAAAATATTTAAATAGTTGGCTGAATGTCATGATTTTCACTTTCAATTGCTACTTATTTCATCCTACATAAACTCAGTACTTCGAATAGAAGTTGTTCACTTTAAAATAAAACTATAGTTGCTGTTCACATTCAATACAAAAACATAATGCTACACTTCATTTTTTGTAGAAAGAAGTAAAAATGTTTCTTTTCTTTCTATTGTTCTGTAAAAGAAACGGTAAACGAATATTTATTTCTTACAGCGACTGATGGAAAATACAAAAAAAAAACACGTAGTCTATTAACTCTACAAAATGTTTTCGAATCCTGATGGTGGATGATCGACTATTGACGTATCATTCATTATCTGTAATGCTCGTCGTATATAACCATTTCAATATTCAGCTTCATCTTTTATCAAACCTTTTCGTTAACGATGTCATTTACATTTAATCTTGTCGATGATTCCCGATTACAAATATTATCTGTGCTTCCATCATCGTCTTGTGATAGAATCCATAGAGCATGTTGCAGATTAAATACTTCAGCCCAACGACGAAAATTAAATGATAAATGACGACAACCATATGAATTTATTTCATAGAGAATTGCTCCTGGTCTCATAAATATCGTATTTGATAAACCTGCTCCATGAACACCAATTAATAAACGTATTGATCGAGCCATACGTGCTGCTTCGTACAGTTTATTATGAAAATTAAATTGTTTTGGCCAAACTCGTAAATATGGATTTGAATGATCAGGAAATGCTTTTAACAAACCATTAACTAATTCATTAGCATTTATCAATTCACGACGGCCAACACCAGCACGATTTAAAATAACAATCCACTCACCAGTAAATCCATGTGATGAAGGATTTGTTTTCTGTTGACTAGGACATATTGGATCACAAATAGGAACATATTCTGATATTTTCTTCTGTTGCAATTCTTCTTGAATTGATGTTAATTGAAATTTTGATTTGAGATTAAAATTATTCAATATCCGTTCAGAATAAGCTAAATAAGCTCGACGAATTTTATTTTTTGAACCGAATAGTGAAAATAGGATAAGATGAGTTACGAAAGGAGTTTGAATGAAAAAAGAGAGAAAAAAAAAAAAGGAATTGTTTGGACAAAATGATTTGAATGAATCAAATCAAAGAAATGGATCCAAAATGGAAGCACGTCAATTAAGGAAATGTAAAGAAATAGTTTATTTTGATAGAAAAAAAAAATTGTATAAAGATAGTAACGCGTTTCGAATTTTATCTTC